AAGTTGGCGGCAAACTCCACTTACCTGCGGTCCTCTTACGGGGAAATACTGACTGGACATAGCGCACATCATTTTACCTCAAAGAAACCTGCTAGGAAGTTCTTCTACATTACGAAAGCAACCATACTAACATTCACGAACGGGGTGATGTCGGCAGCCCGCCTAACAGTTCAAACGTCATGACCGACGATGTCATCTGTGTGCCCCATAGGAGCAGGGTGAGACCACGCACGGTGTCTTGTGCGTGAATTAGTTTATAGTAGTATTGGACTTGCACAGCATCTACCGCAATCTCTCCTCCCCCACCCTGGCCCGGTGTTGGGACATAGTAGAGAAGGCCGAGGATGGGAGAGTGTGCAGGTGGTTGACGCGGTCGGAATCGCCCCTAGGCGTGCTGCGACACCCAGTCCGGACCCCACTATGTGGGGGTGTCACAAAGGTCACATTAAGAAGGGGCGGTTGCAGCCTAACTCTCATACCACCCAGTTGGCCACTCCACACGACATACGCTGGGCTGACTGCAATCTCTATGTTATCCTGTTAGCTGACAACCATCCACGCCACAGACACAAGCACATACACAACAACTGTCAGCAGTACATCACATAACCCTGGCGCAAAACGCATACGATGTACTTTGACAACTCTGGCATGACCTCTAAAACGTCGTGTGCGAGAATGTTCACACCCCACGTACATGAGAAGCGTTACTTTGCGTAGCCCAGCGCACGTTTAGTAGGCATAAAGCCGTGTGTTGTTCGTGTAAACAGGGCTGTTTAGTCTTCTCAAACATCGCTTCCAGTCTCATTCGCAGTCGGCCTGACTGGGACAAAACGCTGATGCGTGGGGGACTGAGAGAGACTGACGCCGGAGAATCCATTCTTACGATAGACCAGCGCCTGCTGGGTTGATTCGTGACTTGGAGGGTTGCCCAGCAGTGCACTAGCTCACTTCTGCTCAGTATTAGAAGCAGACTGCAACCGTTCCTTCCTGGTGTAAACTTTATGCCATTCTAAACAAAGTGGGATCCAACTCTCTCCTTGGCCAAAGGTGGCCTGGTACCCCTGGGGTAGGGACCACGTCGTGTGTGGCATGCATAGACGGGCTGTTGACCACACCCATATCCGGCGACATTGACTTTGTTCCGCCATCGGAGCAATGCAAGAGTGGGGTAGATTCGACGTAGGCCTGCTTCGCTGATGGCATATTCGGTGCAAGTCACCCCGGCGTCCGCCCCGTAGAGCAGAGGTGGATGTTGTAGTCCATGATGGTGGAAAAAGTTCAGAGTAACCAGCGGGCTCGTCAGTCTGCAGTTTATGTAGCATCATAAGATAGGGAGCATTCTTATATGAGAGGTTTCAACTGCTCAAAATACACGTGCTCCAGTTTGCGCATTCCTAAATGACCTTAACCTAACATGACCGCAAGCACGGATGTAGTGCGATAATAAGTATATTGCCCTCGCGTGAATCACGTGCGTGCATTAATCCTAGTCGGACGACTTACATACTAGGTCTCATGACTTTTAACGCTCTGTAATACAACGGCTTCTATTAAAAGCACCTTCTATAGTTGGCGTGGTGATGCACAAATTAATTACTATAATTCGTTTATTGCACCTCGCGTGAATCACGTGCGCTCATTAGTCCTAGTCGGACGGCTTACATGCTACATCTCATTACTTTTAGCGCTCTGTAACACAACAGCTTCAATAAGTAAAAGCATCTTCTATAGTTGGTGTGGTGATGCACCGATTGATTTCATTACAAAAGACCGTAAGCGAACTCGAAGAATATCGTGATATACTTTGCCGACAAATTCGCCCTCGGTCACCCTGACACGTTGCGCTGGTGGCACAACTTAACTTTAAACTGACGACCAGCTGGTTAGCAGGTAGCTGGCACACGGTCAATGTGAACTTTTGACACAATTACCCTTGAGGAAGATGAAGAGCTTACCGGAGCTAGGGAATTGTATGGCTGACGCTTCGGAGAGCTTGGCCGGTTCTCCATTATCAAAGCGTTTAGTGCAAAAATCGACCTGGATTTACGAATAAACGGCCGAATTAATTGGCTGATTTTTTCTTCTTTCGCTGCCTTGGCCCTCTGGCCGTCGTTTGTGAACGTTGGTGGCCTAATTTATTGTGCGTCGTCACCTAAATTGGGTAAATCAGTCAACGGGCCGTGTCTGCTCGGTATTCTTAACCTCCATGTGACCGTCTTGTCCTAGTCATGGCGTACGTAGTGACGTAGGACTTTAGAGGCCGCAGGAAGGTCTAGACGCCTGTTTATGCAGTTGGCATCTGAGTACCAAGCCCCAATTGTGAGAAGCTCTGTCCCTGAGGTGCCCCGGCCTATAACGGTTGCTCCTTGAAAGTCGAAACTGTGACCAGTTTCCCCGATATGAGACGCAGGCTGTGAGTTTGGGTCTAGTCTCCGAGTTGCCAGTTTGTGTTCACGTAGGCGGGTCTGCAGTTTCCGTCTGATTTCCCCAACGTAGTTGCAGTCTCCAACGTTACAACGCACTTTATAGACAACTGCAGAGGCCTCAGTGGATGGCAGCATGTGCTTGGGTTGGATCAAATGGTGACGAATTGTTGCCTGGGGTCGATGAGCAATGCCTACCCTGGCGGGTTGTAACAGTCGTGAAATCGCCTTGGAGACTTCTTTAACATAAAGAGTAGGCCTCCAGACTTAGAGCTGTTCTCCTTGTGGCCGTCGTCTGTTCACTTGGCGCTTGCTTTGCTTGATAAAATAACTTGGACATTCATTGGCCCAGAAGAGCTCATGAAGACATTACCGCTCAGCTTTTTTGTCGGCCGGTGTGCTACAGTGTTTCAACTATTTGGAATGCAGTGCGGGCACAGCTGCGATTGTGAGAAGAGGTGACTGCTGTTAAAGTGTGGTATTCATATTGTGTTGATGCCTTTTTAAATACCTTTCTCGATCGATAAGGGTTTTGTCGGAGTAGTACATTTCGGAGCATAAGATTTAATGGAGGTAGTTCGTTTTGCAAGAGTAATAACAGTAGAGACGCGCAGTGATCTTGGCGTTTTTCAGCAACAGTTGTAGCGGAATACATGGAAAGTTGCGGTATTACTAGCATTGGTAGCGGTAGCGAGTCTACAAGGACCAGTTGCGGAAGTGTAATAAAGTGTGAGGAAGAAACCTTGCACCGGTCCTTCCGGAACTGTTTTATTGATTCCCAATCACAAGGAAGCCTACTGATCCGAACACTCGAAATAGGGTCAGATACCCACTGCAGACATCTTAAGGCTTCCGGCTGGTCATAAGACGAGCCGCGTCGTCGAACTTCAGGGCAAAAAGGTGTGAATTAACCAGAAAAATCGGACTCGAATGTTTAAGCAACAACGCACGAGTAAACTGACGCCCATGTACAGGCGATGTTCGGCTATACAGTTGGTCCGCATTCCCGTCGCGAATTAGATCATGTGATGCCTGGAGGCCGGCCGTAATCCACCGCCAACAAAGACTAAAAGGACATTGCCAGCCTGGCCGGGACGCGCACATTGCAGGAACGAAGGTACCACCGTGTTAGCGCATAAGATTTGCATTCAACTATCTGTCCTTATTGCAGGGTGGAATATGACGGTAAGTATGTAAAAGATGGCCATCCCAGTCCCTCGTGCCTGTCATAAGGCTAACAGGTCAGCTTTGACGAATCCTAGCATCTGGCTAGGTAAGTTCTGCCCTCCACTTCGCTGATTATAACTAGTGGTCAGTAGCACTCCCAACTTGTCTGATTTTGCGTCCAATTTTCTATACGTGGTCAACGGCGGTTCTTCTTAGGGCAACTGTAATGTTATCAGCGGTCTGATTGCCATAAATATTCATTTATCTTAAGAAGAATGAGCATAAAGAGGAAAATTCATTCAAATCTATAACTTCGTGTAGGGTGTGCGAGAGGGGAGAACAGGCAAGGGCATCTCAATAAAGCTACTAAAGTAAACAGAAAGAGCGAAGGAGCTGGTAATTCAACAAGGCGAGCTGCCACCAACACTTTGGAACACGCGCGGGTGTCAGCGCACAGCTGGCTTCCCGAGATCAGTAATAGAGAGTGGGGGTGGCTGAGGCTGACAGAGAAAGTCAGGGAACGGCTTAACAGCTAGTGGCATCCACAGGGTGGAAGGCGCATTCACTGGTGAGCAGGATGATTTTGTAGCATCTTAAGAAGACTGTCAGCTGGAATCTGTCGGGCGCAGATAAGGTGGACTGCAGTAAAGAGAGGGTATTGTTCAGTCAGGTGCATGGACTCCAGGCGGGCATATACCTGAAAAGGAAAACGGACGACTGAGTGTGGGGCTTCCGTTTTCGTACTCTACTCTCGCAGACACCGGCGTCAGCTATTTTCTACCGCACCAAACTATGGTTGACGCGACAAACTCAGCGCCCTACTTTGACTCTGCGTCCTAATGAGACACCAAGAACTCCCGCTTATGTCGAAGCCGTCACCGCTCGACTGGCCAGGAGTACCCCAAACAGGAACTCAAAGTACACTGGTACGGGAAAGTTGCGTAACGCAACCCGATCGGCGAACAACCCTCCCACACTAATTTATATTCCCGACTGCAAACGGCGGAAGAGCGAGCCCGTGACTTAGTGGCAGGGAGCTGCACTTTAGGCTCAGATACCAAGAGTCAGGATTGAAATGTGGCAGTTCGACCGTCGTGCCCGACGATGTCTACCATGTACTCCACAGAAAGGTGAATCAGGCACGGTGACTTGCGAATAAATGAGTTCATAGTGAGAAGGGACTTGCGTAGCATCTACTGCACTCCCCTTCCTCCCCACCAGGGCCGGGTGCCAGAACATAGTCCGTATGTTTCTTCATGAATTCTTTTGACGAACTGGCTGTGGTTTGAATCAGCAGTCAATAATTTTAAAAGTAAAAACACCCGCTTTACCAGCTCGTAATTTTGAGTGTCCCTAAGTGACAAGATAAATCGGAGAGGTGTGCTTTTCTATATACCTTGGAAAGGTCATTAAATCAGGCCATGGTCGTCTATCGGATTCTCGGCATATACTAGTCAATAGGTAATATTGTACCTGAGTATTCCATTGCCAACAACGACGTATTTATTTCGCGTGCCACCGTTTCTACGGGTTGGCTTCGTATAAGACATGGAACTGACGAGCTTACGCTAATCTCCTGGTTTTCTAGTTCGTCCTGCTCATTTATGTCAAGCATAGTCTGAGAGATCGGGATAGAAAACTACTTTTAGCAGAAGACAAATGACCGCTAAGGCCGTATTATGGAAGCGAAGATAATTTACAGCGATTGCCCAGCGAATTTGTACAGAAATGAGTCCATCTTCATTAACGATATTGACAACATTGGCAGCATACATGGCGGGCCGGCAATCCGACGTGTTGACAATCAGAATCGAATGCTGGAGTCAGGGAGCGTTGATTTTCGCAGGGTCAGTTTACTCTGCGTAAACGTGTTTTGTACGAAGACTTCCGATTTAGTTGGGAACGCGGGCTTTCGTCCACGTACTTCCAGGATTATCCCATTAAGCATACCTTAGTCTGGACTGTGAGAACACGGTTGCTAACAATAACATGGGCTACGACACAGTAAAAATCGTCGTTTGTCTATAAAAAGACTCCATCTGTACATTTGTATCTGAAGCATACGAGAGGTCGCAGGGCTTGAAGTTCGCATACATAAGAGCTCCAAATTTCTGCAGTAACGCCATTGGCAACGGTCAGTAGACTGTGGATCGTGTCATATGGGGTTTTATCTAGGCATACATTTGCAGGCTGTTGCAGAAATTGCACTCCCAACAACGATTACTTTCCACGACCTCACACCCTAACTCAAAATCCGTTATTTTGTGAAATCTACTTTTTTTTATTGTTTAATTACTGCGCTCATTTCTCTTGTCGTACAATTGCGCAGTATAAGATTTTCGGCACAAATTCAAACCATTTTTGTGCTTTATTTCATTTTGTCAGTTTACTGTCTAGCGTGCTGCCCCACCCATAAAACTCCCTTTACCATAAATCCGTATGGCACGATCCACAGTCTACAGACAGTTAAGTGGGGTCCTTCTCTATACCGCCGCCACGCCATCTGCTTCTGAGGAAAATGTTACCTGCAAATTTATAGGTCATTGGAGTGAGCTGGGACCCAGAAAACAAACTTTAAGAGCTTATTGACCCCTAGGAAACAACAGACAACAATTATTTAGTTCTTCCAATCCAGATCTGAAAATCTCAGCAGAAAGCGGAGAATGTTTTACCCAGTCTTTTGATAGACAATTTATAGGTAACCAGCATGTCACTGTCGGGAGAATATAACCCTGGAGCAAACAGGAATTAACTGAACTGTGAATACATGACAGAAAAATGCTTCGTGGATCGACGATGTCGAAGGTGACGGCATGTGACCCAGCACTTACCTTCCTCGCACAATCAGGTCCAGAAGCAACACAGTCGGGATGCAGGCTTCTCTCGATTTCCTCTAGCGAAAGTTTTGCGTACTTCGGCTCCGCCAACATTCGTCCGATAATGAGATTGAAGAAGTCAAAGTCGTCACCCACTTGTGGCATAACATCGCTCCTATGAAGCAGGCCTGAAGGCATGGAATGCAAATAAACGAGAATGGAATAAGGGAACTTACGACCGCAGTGGCGTGCAAAAAAGGTGAAAATGTGGAAAATGTGCGTTCATGAAACAGATTCTGGTCAGGTGTCATGTGAATGGGCCGTGATATTCTTAGGCTAGGCAAACGGGAGATCACAGTGGTTAGTGGGGCATCTTAGTCCGGCTCCACTGAGACTGCGTTTGCCTTTAATAATTGCCGTACATGGGTCCGGTGAGACAGCAGACAGCTGGAACTTAGGGCTCATAGGTGTCTCTGCTTATTTTAAATTGGACACGCTTCTTCAAGCCTAGGCGCGTGCGTAATCCCCAGTGCGGAGGTCCCATACGACTTCCTTTGTGCATTAACCAGCGGCTGCTGATAAAGTTTGCGACCTAGATTGCGACCGGAGCTTTGCTGTAAACCTTCGTTCCTGGTTAGTCATCCGGCTGCCTGCAGTTGTCAAACAGCTCAGATTAAAAAAACCCTTCCTTTGCCCAATCCTCTTTCCGCTCTGCAACGGAATGCTTTGTATTAGTGGATCTAACAAGGCGCCTTATGCAGTATGTTATTACCGACAAAGACAAGGGAGACTGAGGTGGCCATTTCTGGATTATTAGCCGTCGTCAGTCAGTCATACCCAATCCCGAAGTGTGGAACACCCGAGGCTCGAACTCGCGACCTGTTGGTTTAGAAGTCCACGCCTCTAACCACTGGGCCACGAGCCCGTTGCCCTGTCGGTTTCGATAGGAAATATACAATGGCAGGGGGCGCCTTATTCTTGTCTTCTAAGGCCAGTCGTACAAGCGTGTACAAGGGGCCACGTAAGGCAAGCCCGATAGCATTCCTTTTGCACGTTATCGCTCGAAATAACGCTGACGTATCCAACTTAAGCACGCACCCAATTACATCACAGGAAAGTTGCCAGACTCTTCCTGCCCTGACGGCCTGGAGAAGCTTTTTACACTCCGCAGGCGTCAACTATAAGCATTCCCTATAAAACACGTCCAGAGGATATCTGACCACCGTTCCTATCTTCAATCCATCGCTTTCGGCAAATTTTTGAGTCTCAGTTCAATCCCAGTCCGATTTTTGATCTCTACCTTTTGTAATTGCTGACTAGCCTCATGCACAGCGGTTATCCTCAAGTTTCTTGGGTGATAAAGAATTATGTTTCGATACTTCGATCAAGCGACTGATAAGTGCTTCTTAATCACGACTTGCTCACAAGTAGCCTGTTCACTTCGGTCTCACACTTGACTTGGAATGATTAGGACAGACTCAAAACTTGCGAACAAGTTCGTAGAGAAGATTTTCGACTGGCTTCTACGGTCTCGACCTTCAAAATACCCGTCAGCCAGGTGAAATCTCGCAACCACAGCCATAGTACTCACAGCTCTAAGACACCAAGGTCCATTTTTGGCCTGAGAGTTGTCATGCCTATCCCCAAGGTAGAAGAATGTTAACTATCTGCCTTTTCGATAGACCGACTCCTAGACTCGTAGCTTAAGCATAACAAAATTGCCCCAGTCCGGGTCTCATAAATTTTCCCTTGAAGGCACCTATCGTTCGGTGTCGAAATAAAAGCAACCATGACTAAATAAGTGTAATCTTCCAACGTGTACCAATTAGCAACCGCGAGGAAACCAACATGGCGTCTGCATGAATCATGCTGCAAGTCTCCGCGTTGTCGTTAATGCGGTGAGTGGTAGAATGTACGTTAGGAGCGATATGTGGGTGCTGCCCATCGATCCGATCTGCTTGCAGGGCTGAATACGACAGTTCCGCATTGTCCTGCACATCTGATCTAGAGCCCTCGCATCCGGTCGCATAGCAGAAAGGCGTAACGAATTGTTCACATTCTGTCTTGTGAAAAGACCAAATCAGTGAAGACTGCATCCACGTGGGCGTCAATGTTCCTAATCCCAGTCCACAATGTCAGAAAGTGGGTCGTCAAATGATAGACCGTTGAGTCGGCCTATTGATCAACTGGACCCGAGTTAAACTCATCGGTTTTCCAGGTTCGAGGTAACGATATAATTAACTGACGACGGCAAATAGGAGAGTCCTTTGGTTGTTGGTGGGTAATTCTTCTAGCAGATTTTGCACATACTGTCGGTGACTGATCTCGTGCAATGATGACTGTAAATTATAAAATGCGTATTCGATTGGGAAGGATTTCCTAAGTTTGCGGGATAAGGTCGTGATATTTCACGCATGCCATGGTGTTGGCTTTAAAATGTACTTCTATTCGGCCGTCTTCAATAATTTCGCTCGGTAAAAATGACTACTTAAACAGTAAACATTTTCTATATCAATTTTCGATGTCCCTGTAAATCCAAAATATGTTGCCAAAACATGCACAAACTATTTTCTTCTGCACTCACTTGGTGGCAAATCATGTCTCCTTTAAATTTGATACTCGAAAAAGGGTATTTTTCGGTTTTAAAGACGTTTTCCAATACCAGAGTAATTTTGAGCTTAACCTACCTTTGCCTTTAGGATTCTCAGTCTACTAGTTGTATACTTTAAGTGTATGGAAAAACATTAATTCCCCCATTGCATTACATAGATGCCGTACAGAGCTCATAAAAATTTGCAACGGATGTGAACCATGTCGTAAGTTCCATGAGGAACATTGCTAAACGGAGAGATACAATGTTATTCGCATGGACATTGTACAGCCTTAAAAATCTCGCGATTAGAAACTTTTTTTTTTAAATCGAAAAATACATCTTCTTCGGGTATACGATTTAAAGGAGACGTGATTTGTTACCAAATGAGCAGAAGGAAGGACATTTTCATGCATATGGCCATTGCAAAACGTGTTTGAATTTATAAGAGCATCGAAAGTCGATATAGAAAAGGTTTACTAGTTACGATGTCACTTGTTTGCCAAGTGCACCGGTTGCAGACGACTGGAAAGTGCATGCGTAAAATATCACGGCATTATAACGCAAGATAATCAGAATTACAACCACACCTAAGTAGTCCCTTCTAATCAAATGGGCATTTCACCATTCCCAGTCAACATTTCAAGACTGCATCTGCTTCGGGGACCGTTTATTTGTTAACCAGGCAGTCGGTTCTCTCCAACCGGCCTAGTTGTGGAATGATTTTTCCAATAAGTGTCGTCATGTATGTCGGCATGTATTTAAAACTGGAACCGCTTGGGTAAAAAGGTAATATAATGTACCAAACAACTGGGCTTGGCCATTTTTTAGACTTGTTTGAACCCCTATCAGCCCAAATTGGTCTGTAAGTGGATGCGTATTCAACAAGTTACAACCATCCCAAAATATTCAGATGATTTATGATGTAGCATATCCAGTAGAAAACAATGGCAGATGTATGATAGGATTAAATTACTATAAATGGTTGTTAGCGTCAAAACTTTACAGTTTATAAGGATAGAAATGCGAGGGCGGAAGCGAGTATTGAAGAGAAATCTAGGGGGGGACGTACAGAGGAAGAGTTCTGATATCCCGCAGCTCTGAAGGAGAGTGGTGTAGGATGTGTCTACAGGACAATGAAAAGGGGAGTGAGCAGTTAAAAGATATCTCCATGAAAACTTTTATACGTGAAACTTAATTCGACTAATCTTTTTGCACGCGCTGTCAGTGCTGGATGGCGCATTACCCTGGCACTACTTAGCATTTGAGTCAAGCAACCTTGGCAAACATAACTTTGTTTAGGAGGCGGTCGACTGCGACTCCAGTCACAAGATGTTTCGGCTCAGGGACGATATATGAAAAGCTGTCAGAATGCGTTTCCAACAAGTACTTCGGCGTAGAAGTGTAACAAAGCCCGCCTGAACTAGAGGCACAGGATAAAAAGAGCTAGCTGATCCTTAAGGATGCTGCATTAAAACCAAAAGTGGGCAGCCTGAGAGGGACTTCGTGTTACTCAAAACAGTTAGCTTAAGAAACTTCGGTCGACTGGGAAGAAACTACTTCTTTAGTTATTACAGAGAAGGCAAATTAAAATTGCACGTAACAGGCAGGGTGCCTCCGGATAGAAAATGTTCAATGCTGATGTACGGATGCCCATGGACACTAGGAATCAGCCGAGATTTTCGGCAGGAGCCACGCTCACACTGAGCGAGGGTCCTATCAGTTGATAGCCGGGCAATATCGAAGAACTTTCCGAACTTCATATAAGGTATAGTTCGTAAAAATGAGCACGTACGATTATTATGTGTGTTCGCAACATCTACAACAGTTACAGACAGTACCCCTTACGTTCTTAGACCTTTCCAGCACTAAAAGAACGCAAATAAGATGATTCTACCGTCAAGGTTCACATTTTTTAGTTGGACAAATGGGCCCTAACATGAAAGTTTAGTCGCTGACCAGGCGCTGTTCATTCATCAAAGTCTGAAATATTGCAGATCACCTAGATCTTCAGTGCGGAGTATACATGCAGCTGAAAGTCCACGGGTCTGATCGCCTGAATTCATGAGGTAAAGTCTTGTGCTACAGAGATTGGATAGCTCTTTCAGCAAAGGAGGCGGCAACGGTCATTTCATGCTTATCGCTGATCATAAGTACACTCAGTCTTCCAAGTGGGCGGGGATTTTACCGAGTAATCGCAAAGTAGCCCATAGGATGTTCTGGCTACCGGTCGGTCACCCTATAAAACTCCGAAATGCTACAAAGTGTGAGCCGGTTAAGACAAACAAATAGAGGCCCTAACGATGGGTACTTCTATGACGCAACTTACTGTTGCTTCAACACTTAGAGATTGACCAACGCTAGATGAAAGAGACGGTATTTCAGGAATTTTGCTTCGCAAATTTAAATTAGCAACTAGGTTTCCAGTATTTTTCCGGCAACGCCGCCAGAGCATCCTCCGGCTCCACCGTAAAGTTAATTTCAAAGGAACTCCGTGGACGGAAAAAATGATGGATGTGTCATTTTATGAGGTTAATGTTTAAAACACTTTGAAGTTGAAATCATAGATGAGAAAACAGTGGAATGCAGACTTATATTATAAGAACCGAAGTAACAAACGAATATAGTTAACATTATCACAGTTGGCCGTCTATGAGAGGCTAAAACGTCCAATGTCATGCAGAAAGACGTCAAGTGGAAGACGGCTGAGAAAGGTCAGATGCCGTGTCGAGTGTTTCCACCGAATTTGTCTGAACTAAACTTTCCCAACGGTATATAAAGCCACCGTTCTTAAGAAGCCGTGACAAAAAAAATTATAAGTGTGCGTAGGACACCTAAAAATGACTCTTTCTACCAGTAATACGGACCTCGAAAAATGGTGTGCTGAAGGGCGCCATAGGGACATGAACTCTTAAATGCAAACAGAATCCACCCAGTAAGCGTAAAGTATCTGCACAAAACCACGTTTAGCGATCGTGTCAAAACGCTAGATCAGACGGAAACCAACAAGAAAGATGGCTTAAAAGTTTGGGGGAAAGTGCTGCGTATATAATAGGGAAAACATAAAAGGCTCTGCAAAACAATAAATGTTAAACTGATTGCAATACGGATGAAAAGTATGACAGATTAGGTAACCAGACAAAGGCGTCAACTAGACAGAGAATGCGACTAAAGACACGCAAATTTCGACTGAGTGTTAGGCTCGCTGACCTACCGTACTTGGCGTACATGTACTGGCAGAACTGGCCAATCTCGTAAAGTCCCAGGCGAATGACGGCAGACTTGGTGTTGGTGCCCAAACGAAGTCCGTCGACAATCCCCGCAGCCAGTACGAGAATGTTCTTCAGTGCACCGCAGATCTCCACTGTGGTAACGTCAGGTGTGCAAGTGAGAAACAGATTCTGATTCTGAGGCCATTATGTGAGCGCAGACATACAAGAAAGCGGAAAAGGATGTTTTTAACTAGCACTTGTCTGTGAAAGGCAGCCAGTAAGTGAGAGTATGCACAAGAAAACATAAGGGAGACTGATAGAACTACGCCAGAGTTCCAAACAGTCATTGTCCAACAAACAGTCCACCTCTACTAGAAGGACATGGAACATTTGTTCTTCTTTCGTTCACTGATTTATCTTTGCTATACAACCGCGTACAGGAGCCGGACTTGGACTCTAACACGAACTGGGGGCGGGCGCATTGTGCTCTACAGCAGGCCGGAGACCATCCCCACGCCATGTTAACAGTCTCAACAGCAGATAACAGAGAGTGTACCCGTAAGTCAGTGACGGGCGTTATGGCTCGCGTCAGTACTGCTGGCTGTGGTTCAGATTCCAGACTTTGGCTGTTGACGCTTGAGATTTTGCAGGTCCTCCATTTTGGTCAAGAAGTTTTCCCCCGCACCCAGGTGCTGATTATAGTAGCGACCAGGATGTCCCAGTGCTTCATCCTGCCTGCTCGAGGTTATGAAAAATCCGGCCAAAAATCAACGTTAATAAGGACTATGGCAGCAATAAAGCCCGGGCGTTTCCAGCGACTTCGCTCTGCTCCGCATACATTAACTTCACATCTAAGGTCACTTTGGATCAAGCACAATAGACGACACATCTCACGAAACATAAACTCAAATTCTGAGATATGATCTTGGTAAGAAAGGATTACTTGGGTGAGATTGCGATATTGATAAACATGCAAGAGAACCCAAGATATTTCGGTCACGCCAAGATGTCGATTTTGTAAATGCGCGTTTTTCTGGCCACTCGCAAAAAAGGGACTTCTTAGGGAGTTATGAATGTCTTCAATCGTTTTTCTGTGTTTTTGCCACTTAAAGTCTTTTGTAGAAAAAATGCGCAATACATGCATTCTCACGCTCCTTTTGGTATATTATGCCTTCTTAAAACTCTCTACTTGGATGAAGGGTATCTTTTGGTCTAGACATTTTGTGTGGGACATTTTTTGAGACCGTGAACTGCTTATTCACGTAACATCATTCCTACACGTTTACTAGTGCTTCATTTGGGGTGAACATGTTCCGTATCAATTGAAAAATCCCATGAGCGTTATATGTCAGCTTTTTGAGAGCACAGGGAAATGGAAAGCGCATGGAAAGCGCATGGAAAGTGCACAACTGTAGTTGGAAGAGCCTAAACACGAAGGCAACGAGAGGTTGCGTTCAAAGTTATTCGGAAACTGGATGACACCTTCCTTCGAGTAGAAAATCTGAAGATGCGGTTTACTAAATAATAAATAGATGAACGGGCGTTCTTGTGCGCGCTCGATATAAAATGTGAATGGTTTCATAAAGGCATTGAAAGGCACTGGAAAAATACATGCCGCCCAAATAGCTAGTCTTTGGCATGTGGTCTTTCCAGGTGATCATGAGATGCGTTGTCTACTTTACTTGAAAAATCTGAATTGATGTTTTGGCAGATTTGAATAAGTAACTTGACAAAATTGTGAAAAACTCGACGGCCTCAGTGGGATTCGGACCCACGACAGCAAGGGCAAGGCCGGAGTACAGCCAACGCCGATCAGATGAATTACTCAGATTTGCCAAAAATAGCACTTAGTTTATTGATTAATTAAGCCTGGTAGTCGTCCCGGTGGATTTTACATTGATTGTCTTGACTAGGAAATCCCGCTTGGGAAGTCGGCATACTGTATCGGATTTGGGGGATTCCATTCGTTGCAGTGGGCTGGACGGGCAACTAGACTCAACTGTGATTAAATCCACGGATTTCAGTGGAGCCTTAAGCGTTTGTGGTACTCAAGCCTTCCCCTTACTGTCCTGAGTTCGAATCCCACCGAGGCTGCCGAGCTTTTCGTAGGTGGGTCAAATGAAATCAAGATCAACCAAATGAATGGCAAGTCGGCAGTCAATTCCTATTTTACACAAATTAAAGTCTTTAGCCAATTTTTAATGCAGGTGCTCGAGACTCATCTATGCACTGGCCACCGACTATGCAAAAAGGTTGAGCATGGGTAAAAGTGCCCCGCACTGCAGGTGGTCTTGCGCCAAATTCCAGAGGCCCCCTGCTCTCGTGCCCTAACTTCAACCCTAACTCTAACGCTAACCCTCCTAACCCTAGCACTATACCTCATAGCCTTAACCCCCTGGGATTTAGTGCAGGGCTGCCTGAAATACAGGGGACACTTATAACCGTGCCCTATCGATCTGAACTGAATCATTTATAAGTGGTGCCGGCAACGACTGGGGAGACCTGAATGGACGTTAGTGACCTGTCTATCGTCACAAACCGGCTATACTCCAACCACAGGACGGAAGATCAGAAAATTAGGCCACGGTTAATTGGCCACCGAGCCTCCGAATCAAGTATGCTACTGCTTGAGCCATGGGTACATGTACTATCAGCCGGTAGTAGTTCATCCTGCAACTTAGCCACACACCGTTCCACTGGTATGGAATAAAGTCACGAAGCAATAGCAGTAGAGGACATAGGATGAATGGAACATTTGGCATGAGATCAAATTCAAAGTTACGGATGGTCGCTAACAAGGATATTGCTCATCTGCACCGTGGAAAGTTATTAGGCCATAAAGCTGACCACCATAATTGCTCCGCCGGCCGTCCTTGTCCAACGCGCTGTCGCGTCAGGGCCATCTTTCCTCCCTATAAGTGTCCCCAGACGCACGGACCATGCACTGTGGCTGACTACAGCACGCGCGTTCAAGCGCATCAAGGCAAATACAGTTGTCCTTGTCTCACGCAATGCAGCAGACAACTAGGACACAGGACCCCTGAACTCCTTCCCACAAACCTACAAAAGCAACCGACATTATGGTCTCTCCCTCCCGGACGTGAAGTAACACTGACGCCAGCGACCACTACTGAGACAGCAGCTCAGGGCTCTGTATGGAATAAATCTCCTGCTGCTGGTGGCATGACCTGATGAATGTGGTGCTCAAAGTGCATCTCTCAACCCGACCGTTAGCGCCCAAAGAGACAAGAATGCGAAGATCGGGAAGAGGAAAATGAGATGAATGAGGGCAAGAACGGGGGAGATTAAGAGTAGGAGGAGGAAGTGAAGCGGAAAACGAATGAGGCAAAACAGTTGCAGAATAATAAATTCTTAAAATGTAATAAACCTGTAGCAGTAGTTTTGCTTCCTGTGCTCGCTCTGGATTCGGGCAACCGATCGTGGCTTCCGCAAAGTCACCATTTGCGAGACCTTTAGCGTTAACACCACCACTAACGACAACGCACGGACTTTTCGTCACCCGAAGGATCTCCTCACTAACCAGTCGTATTACCTGGTCGGGGACAGTTTCGGTTGGTTCGGTCACCAAAAGACCCTAGAGGAAAAGAACGAAAAGGGGGCGAAAAGTATTAACTAGTAGGGTGGTTCATTGACATTAGCAAAAAAGACTATGATTCTGGCTTGAAGGCGCTAAGATTCAGAATGAGAACCCAGCATGAAGAAAAAGACCTGACAAAATGACGAAAATATATGAGTGATGCTGTTAGTGGCAGTGAAGCAATCATGCCCACTGAAAATTACAAGTGGCATTGCGGCGATTCTGATAGTCAACCCTTAAATAATTGCTCAACACAGTCATCGAGAAATACAATTGGCTTGGCCCTAGGAAAATGAAAACATAAGTCTGTGCAACGCAGAAGAAGAAATGAAACAGGATATGACGCCGTTAAACAGATGGGTTTTTCACCTATTCTTGAAGCAATATTTCCCGAATGGCTGGCGATCCACAGCAACTAGTGGTGTAAATGGAATCCAGGCGTAAAAGTGTTGTTTTTCCCTTTAAGAATATTTCGCAAAGTAACAAAGAGGAAAGGAGCTCAGGGTTCAGTCTCACTACCTGACCGACACAGAAACACAGTGGATTTTCAGGCCAATGACGCGGGGCTTGTGATAAACCCGCCCTGCTAAAATGTGGTACTACTTCGTATACTTTGGACTTACGTTGTGGAACAGATGCAGAAGCAGTGCATTCGTTGGGTGCTGGCTTGGGGAAATAACTTGTGAAGTACTAAGTCCACTTTTGGCATGTCTAGTTAGTAGGCACTTAGTTAAGTCATAACAAATCCAAAAAGGTTAGACCAAAGACGGGTGGGGACAGTTACTGATTGTGGTGGATAAGAAACATCGGTTCTGCTCGGTTTGAGGAGGTAATTACTTTAAAGATGACCAAACGATCAAGGAGACAAGGAGTTCTAGGAATATGAGCTTATGCCGGAGAACGGTGCGCCTTGATAAATGTTCAGTATAACATCCAACAAATCTAGGGAAAACCCAGGATCCAAGTCCAAAAATAAAATTAAAAACCGCAATCATCAGACTTGCCTTAGATAGCGATATAAACAGCACATTCGGCTTTAAGTGACCTGATATTTCCCGTAGTATTTCATTGACATGACGAGTGGCATAGACGAAGAAAATCACGTCGGATGCACTTGCAACGGCGACAGGATCCCCTTTCGCCTCAATGTTGTCCTTTAAGCGCACATTCGGAGCATACTTCGGATTTTCCCGATTTCCATTAATTACGTCAATCAGTCGTTCGCCAAAACACTCTTCGTCACGAACAAACCACAAAATCTAGATCTTCCTGACAAGTAGTCCGAAAATTTACCTTATTCTTATAATCATCCAGTCTCGTCACGTTTTCAGCCAGCAAATTGGCGATGTTGGTGCCCATGGCACCACAACCAAAGACACTAATTTGCTTCATATTGGCTTGGCTTCGTGGGAGGAAACAGAAATGCAAATGAGATAACACATCTGCTAGAAAGAATTTAGAAGTTAAAAGGTCCTAGAGAATTAATTGACTAAACAGCAGCCAAGTGGAAGTGGTAAAAAATATATTTTTTTACAGACTTGTACAAATACACACTTGTTAGGGGGCGCTCACCGATCGTGGATACGGAACTCACTCGTTCCGTTGTGCCTTAAGGGCTCTCTCCCTCGAGCCCAACCAGCAGCCGCACAGCGGCGCATGATATATAGGCAGAATGATATTACCGACAAAGACAAGGGAGACTGGAATGGCCAATTCTGGCTTATTAGCCGTTGTCAGCCAGCCACACCCAAGCCCGAAGTGTTGGGTTGGGCTCGAGGGAGAGAGCCCTTAAGGCACAACGGAACGAGTGAGTTCCGTATGAACGATCGGTGAGCGCCCCCTGACATTGTATATTCCCGATCGAAAACCGACAGGGCAACGGGCTCGTGGCCCGGTGAGTAGAGGCGTTGACTTCTAAACCAACAGGTCGGGAGTTCGAGGCTCGGGGTGTTCCACACTTCGGGCTTGGGTATGGCTGGCTGACGACGGCTAATAAGCCAGAAGTGGCCATTCGAGTCTCCCTTGTCTTTGTCGGTAATATCATTCTGCAAATACACACTTGTTAATACGCATTTAATACGAATATAACTAGACTGAACTCAGTTGTCAAATTCCGTCCAAAGCATGAAATCTACATGGGTAAAATGAGCTAGTGAGTACCTTATCGACTTCCAACTAGAAAGTGCGGTGGGTAAGAGACTAAACTCGACAATTAAGCTCTCGACGGTGAATGCGACACAGATGCGGCAGAACAACGCCGAGACTGCAGGAGCGGAGTAAACACCAAAATAGGGTGGAAAAAATAATAAAGCGAAAAAGTCAAAAGGGTGAGGCGTGCAAAACCGGAAGGACACGAAGCTGGTAAAGACAAATACACAGCAGCAAATGGGTCAAAAGCGTGAAACTCTTAAAACGGGACATCAACAGCGATATGCATAAAACGGAGATAGCACGTACTGCTGTCAGTCGGTAGGCGTACGCCACAAATCCATAAGACCTGTATTACTAACCCGATGTTAGCGCATATCTCTGCGGGCTGCCTCGACTTCCACAAGAAAAATCAGGAGACCTCTTAAAAAGTCTGCATGCAGGGCCCGGGACATGACCTTCAAGTGATTGGCTCCCAATATTGATGGAACACTGCAAAAGACTCATCATTCGAACTTGTGTACTCACCGGAGGTTGGACAGTTTCTACGAGTGCTCTCGAAGATTGCGTCTGTAACAAGGTTGGACGAAACAAATGCTCCGAATCGACTATCATATGTGCCTGACAAGGTCTATGTAGTGTCACTTCTGCAGTAGTGCCGGAAGTTTAAACAAATTCAATCTTTTCTCTGGACATACATTACGGCTGAGGAGAGCAACCTTAATCGTCTGATTCTAAGCCTCCTACGAAAGATTAACTTTCTCTACTACGTATCGGCGTCACGTTGGTAACATTCAAAGTACTTCTTAACAAGCATGATAACAACAGTATGGTTTTGCTTAGCAAAACGCTAGGGATGGTTAGAAATGATGGAAAGAAGTTCTGAGTCTTGGAAGGAACTTATGCGCGTGGTTTTGGTGGTACTAAACCATAGAAGTTTGAAAACCCCTAGGTCGGCCCCAGATCATGTTCGGACGAATGACTTCGTTACCTGGCAGTGTGTGTATGTGGGCTTTTTAAATTTAACTCTAAGTTTCATAAAATAAAATGAGACACTGGCGCATTCACTTTCAGATCCCACCAGTTAATCCACTCAAACGCTTTATAGTGATCTGCTTAGATAGAGACATTTGCTATCGACCGCAAAATCGAGTGACTGTTGTAGATTGCGCCTGTTAGGCTTTGTAACTTCGCAAAAGTTTATATGTGAGCTCCCAGTAAAGCCCACGGGATGAGACTTCTAAAGTGGCCTGCGTTAATTCGAATACCCGTCATTTACATCAGTAACCACTTTTCACTGATATTGTCCGCCGGACACTTAACCAAAAACGGATAGTATTATAATCTGCTCCGACATCGAATCCGCCTCTGTCTCATCAGAATAAAAACCTTTTTCCCGTCTCCGTATACAAGTGAAAGTCATCTGGTGGTGCTTCTCATCAATGTCGATGTGTGAACTTAACTGCCATGGTAGTGTAGCGTTGCATCTCTCGCATGATCTACAAATAAGCGGTCTTAGACTGTTTCACCAATTTTAAAGGTATCTAGGAATCCAGGTCGACTGCGACCTGCCTGATTATGAACCATTGTAAATCTGAATGTTTGCGCAGCGTTAGGACTTTGAGTAGTTGAGATGCTGGCTAGGCCGGTGTGGGCAGGCTTTAATCCTAAGAAACAACAGCATGACTGCTCCAACCAATTTGAGGATCTACTATTGAGTGATGCCTATCTGGTTGTCAACTAACAAGAGAAGTAATTCGAGACTGGATCGAGGTTGACTAGCACATAAATGTTTGGGGAATATTTGCTCATCAGTTTGGGCGAGCTTCCTCAAATAATTTAAATCTGCTGGCAAGCATGCTGCTGAGGGCTCTTTTCGCAGTTAGGTACTCCTTAACTAAACGCTTTAAAGCCACGTTAACTTTTAGATTTACTAGATTTATGAAAAAACCGCTGTGTCCATTAGCCTCGTCTTTATCGGCCTAGGAGGTAACCACCTACATCTAACAGTGACTGCTGTTGTTGTTCAGCCTAGCACCTACACAGTCCCAATGGGCCCGGTACGTCGTCTTTATATTAAGATATTAATGCATGACTGTAGTTGGAGGCAACCTTTTGGGACACCTCGTGATTGCGAACAGATGCCTAGGTTAAACCAGGCGTTCGCTCCAGTGCCTTTGCCATCTCGTTTTAAAAGTATATTTAGCCTGACCATGTAGCTGTTCGACAGACGGTCCCTGATAAGTGATTTATTTCCGTAAGTCATTGAGTTAATCATCCTACCTCCGTAAGTTATCGAAATCCTTCAAAACGCCCTCTAAGCAGTTTTCACAGTATCAGCGCCAATGAGAATTTTCCGACATATCACAGAATGCCCATCCACTGGTGTTTGCTGTGGTTGCTGCAGTTGTTGTTTATTACAGTTATTAAAGCTACTAAAGGTCTCATCGAACAGAAAATGAGAAACCAGTCATTTCACGCAAACTGATTTTGCTTTTCCAGATGGGAGCATATAAAAAAGAAAAAATCGGCGCAAATTGAAAGATCAATAAGATTATGTATGAGGAGATATTTAAAAACTTTAGAAGGCCCAACAAAACTGTGGAAATGAGAATCCAGAAGAATGTGAATAAGAGCATCCGGTATGAGCCAATCCTTCTTGTGATAATCTGAACGCCGAAGTTAATCCTTCAAAAGCTCCTAAGTAGCAGCTAGGTACAGGAAAGTTGGGCTATCCGGAATCGTGATTTTTTATAATTGTTTGACTTTTTAAACACTGCTGCCTTTTTAGGTTATACTAGCTGTCTACAAAGTTACACAAATCTACTGCTTATGAACAAATACGTTCTCTTAAACACTTTCAGCCTAATTAGTAGTAATGATCCTGATTAAAGCCGCGAAACCCATGTAATCGTTCTCGATCAGCTGAAGACGCTGCTCTGAAAAGATCATAAAGTCTGAACTACAACCATTCCGGAAAATGGGACATCCACGAAGTTTGTCCGAGTCTTCTGCGACAGTGACGTCCGCGTATACAACGTCCTTACTGCCTGGCGTAGACTTGCTTTGTTAAGAGCTTAGAGTAAAGGTTCATAAAGCGAGTACGTCACGGTTTCAGATATGTATGGTTGAATCTCCTTAGTGTCGAGTTCTTGGAGGAAAACGCAGAAAACCATAAGGAAATTGGGCAGGGACCACTTCGTGTCATTGTCATTAGGAAATTTGTGTTTCAAACCTACCTACGGTCTATAATTTCAGATTCTGGGACAAACTGCATTGTTAAAACTCCCTTTCTACCTACGGAGAAATGCTTCTATAATGAAACTTAGGGAATGTTTTGTTTTAAGTAAGTCATTAGTAATGGCTTACAAAGGGACAGAGACACGCAGCACCTCCAATTATGCCAACAGGGACAACGAACAATATGGGGAATGTAAAAATATGGATGGAGATGTCTGAGACTCATGAAGCTACATGATTAAAATAAAATACCGTGCAGAAGTCAACTTCCAAATAAAAGTGGGTAATTTCATCATCGAGCTACTCGAACTCAGGGATCAGCACATCAACTAATGAGAACGCACGTACAGCAATCAAATTATTGCTGTCGAGCATGCCCGTCAAGTCAAGATGGGATATCCCATTTCTCAATGTTTATATAAACATTGAGAAAAGTACACGAAACAACTGACTGCAGCAAAACTAAGGGCTGGGCGAATGTAAATGCTAACATGGATTCCAAAAATATGCAAAATATTTTTTCAAAGCCTATCTGTCCTGCGCATTCAGACATACTGAAAAACTGAGCGTAAAGCATAGGCACGATATCAAGCAAATGACTAAAGACAGCAATTTGCGGATTCTAATCGCCGGCTACCAGACGATTGGTCCAGCATAGTCAAGCTACAACCATTTCTTTAAGTTTGGTGAAATTACGTTTGAGTGTAACTTTCAGTCACTGAACAACCCACAGGATGTCATTAAGGAACTCAGTCAAGGAAGAAAACTCAAAGGTAAGTGCATTCTTCGGCAATCGGCTACTATGTCAAAGCAAGAAGTAGCCACGTGTTTTTGCTGTAGTTACCAGAAAGATTAAAAAAATTACGGCAACGTGTTTAAAAGGAGACGGCATTCCTGAACTTTAGCGGACTGAAAAGGTCAATACAGCAAAAATGCTCATGAAAGACGGTTTTCTGGACTTTCGTATTGTTAAGTCCTCGTTCTCGAAAAATTTGATTTGCCTA